ACAAACGACAAAATTCTTATATTTTACAAAAAGCTAACCCTTAAATAAAGCGGATACTTTGCCTGATTTTGATTTTTGATATAGGTTAAATTTTATATACAATACCATTTAGATCTTTATTGTTTACTTGCATCTCTTAAATTTAGAGGTATAAATTGGGCCGTGATATAAAATTGGATCAATCCGGCACGATAATACGTTGGTTGTATTGGGCTTGGGTTTCTATGCCCATTGGCTAGAATGATTGAGCGGGTCACCTGCATCCGGTATGTTAACACGACCCAACACGGCTCATTTATATAATAATATAAAATATATCAATATATATATATATATATACTTTTATTTTCAATTTTATTATATTATTATATATATAGACAATTATATGTATTAAAATTCATATACAATAAAATTTTAATATTTTTAAATTTTTTTCTATTTTGTTAATTTACTTTAAATTTTTCATTTTTTATAAAAATATGGTTTAGCCCGATTTGTGGCTTGGCCAGGCCCAAGGCTCAGCCTGCATAATCTCGGGCCGTGGGCCTAACCGGGCCGATACCCGGAAATATCCCAAAAAAGAGAAGCCGGCCGCACTTTGTAGTATACTATCATATACTATCATACCTGATATATATTTTGAACCTTGTATAGTTGGTTTCCTATAGCAATGGATTAATCTTTCTTATTTACCAAACTGACTTCATGTAGTATATGTAAACAGCGTTTGTCGGTTTGCTTATAGTATCATGCGATGCACGATATTTTGAACCTTCGTTAGGTGGTTTCTATTTTGAATCATGGTATTGCGTTCCCAAATGGATTAATGGATAAGTCATTCAAGTCATACCACCAAAATGCGTTACCTTTGTAATTAACCAAAACCTAACATCACTAACACTTGGGCTATGTTTGTTGGGTTTGAAGGAAAAAGTAAGAAAAGGAAAATGTGTTACCTTTTCCTACTTTCCCTACATTTTCCTTCAAACCAAATATAGCCTAGGGTACATCTCCAATTCTCCACCAAGAATGGCAACAGAGTGGGGTGGGGATAGGGACCACTCCCATCCCTGTTTTGTGAAAATTTCCATCCCCATCCCTGCTCCCATCTTGTCTTTATTTTTATTTTATTCTATTTTTAATAAAATAGTTAAAATTTACAATCCCATCAATAGAGATGTGTGTATATGTCATATTACAAAGTGGGGATCCTTATGGGACGAGCTAGGAGTGTTCTTTCTGTCCTCACACTGTCTCCGCCATTAGGATGCACATTTTCCTATCCCCATCCGAGTTCAAATCATCCCCTCATAAGATTGCCCACCACAGCGTTCCAGCACATTCCCACTGTGTATTGGGAATATCTCCCGATGATAATACTAAAAATGATGATGATGTTATCGTTAGGAGATATTCCCAATACATGGCAGGGATATACTGTGGGACAATGTGGGGAGCTGATTCAGTCTCTCCCCATCATGGCCATGGGTCTCCAGGGATCAGAGAAAATTGCATTCCCTGATCTCCACCATTGATTTTCTCATTAGTCCCATCAGTTCATTTACCGTTTCCACCTTCTCCAGCCTTAACCATTTAAGTTGGTTCCTGGGACCAATCAATTAATCTCAGCCATCCAAACGATGTATCGAGGTTTCAGCTGCCATGCACCATCTTCTCTACCACTGTTGCTCAACCTTTAACCCCACTACCTCAATCATTGCCCACACATCGCCACTAGTTCTTTCATATTCCCTTTCGCCTCCATCATTCTCACTAGGCATGAACCCCGTACTAAGTATGGATCCATGAGCTGAATTATTTTAATTTTTTTAAATCATCTATATTAAAAATTTAAGTTAATTTTTATGAATTTTTATTTGATTTAAGAGACTTATCAGGTTTTATTTAAAAGAATGGTCTACATCATTTATTATTTCATTTGAGATTCATGGTAACTTATGCCTATATGATAAATTTGATTTTGTTTTTTTTTTTTAATTTAAAAAATTAAATGAGGTTTAATTTGCAATTAACAATTTATGTTTTTTCTTCTTTTTAACTTATGCAGTAGGCATGGCAAAATCTTTAAGTACAGGGCAACTATCATTTTGTTTGTGATTGAGTACTTGTATGAAAAGTTTGACTTGAGTATTTTAAGAAGGTGGATATATTTTAAGAAGCAATACATAATTGAGTATTTTTGAGAGTATATAATTATAGATAATGTTAAAAAAATAAAAAATGTAAGCTTAGACAAATAGTGTAGAAGGATTGAGAGGAGATGCTAACATAGACAATTACATTTTATACATATAATACATACCCAATTAATTTTTATTTAAATAGTTTAATTTTTTATCACATTTTAATTAACTTAAATTAAATTATTAGCTTTATTTGGTTAATAAATCTAAGGTAACTTAATGGAGCTAATTAATCCAATTATTTAACCATCTTACTAATTATTGAATCATTTTATTTTTTGGAATAATCATTTTTAATTATTTAATCCTTTTTAGTAATTATTGGATCATTTTGTATTTCTTTTTATAAACTTAATAATGTATATGTTATATATTAATTATGTACATGAATTAAAGAATTGAATAATTAATTTTATATACTAACTTATTAATTTCGTTTAATTAGATAAATTATTAAGTTAAAGTAATTAACTTTAATCGAATTAAGGGGCCAATTTAAATTCAATGACTTATATGGTGTACAGATTAAACATAAATGAGTCAACTTACGTATACCTATAAATTGTTAAATTAAAGTAATGAATTTTCATTAGATAAGGAGTCAAGTTAGTTGATTGGCTTGCTAATTGTGGAGCAGGGTTACGCCTTCCAGGAAGGGAACCCAGTTGCTGATTGGCTTGTTAATTATGCTCACTCTAACCTTGCTTTTGTCTCTTTTTTGCCTTTCGCTTTAAAATGTCTCTTTTGTTCTGACATTTGGGGTTGGGCTAATCGTGGGCGGGTCAAGTTGAATTTAATGACCCGTATAGTTTACGGGTTAAAAAATACCTGTTATTGTATGGGTGCCAAAAAATACCTGTTTTTGACTATAAAAATAAACATGTTTAATTTGTCTTCAGTGACTTATGCCAATTATTTTCAATTAACTACAATTTTCAATAATTGCAATTTTGAATAATTATCATCTATTTTCAATTAACAGCAATTTTCCATATTTGCAGTTTTGAATGATTGTCAACTATTTTCAATTAACCGCCATGTTTAACAATTGCATTTTTCAATAATATTTTCTGCAATATTCAACTTACATCAATTTACTATGAGTTTTGAATAATTATTATCAGTATTTTTCAACTATCACCTTTTTGCAATAATATGCATTTTTCAAATTATTCCCTATTTCCTATTTGTAAGTGGGCAGAGGCGTGTGTACACAGGTCTCCATGTACCTACTACCCAAACCTAAATACAGTGGGAGATGATGAGACTTGGGAACGTGAGATAGAGATAGAGAGATTTTAGGGGGTGAGAAAATGAGACAATTCGGCTGAGTCTGAGTTTGTGGTAGTTTTACTCTTCTCTCTCAATCTTTTGCCCTAAAAAGCACAGAAATTATTTATGAGAAATTTCATAATTTTTCTTACCCTAGACAAATATGGCACTAAGTCACACCCCTCAAAAGTAGAGAGGAGGTGTCTGTAGTTTACCCTAAAATAATTCATGTGAACTGTTAGAAATATGGAATTTGGGGTCCTAAATTCCTAATTCTTGTTGTTCCGAAAAAGGCAAACAAATATAAGAAGAAAAGGATACATTGAGCCCCAGTCCTCTAATCTAGGAGCAAGTCCTGAAGAGGGCAAGACCCAAGGTTAAGTGCAACTGCAAGTTGCAACAGAAGTACAGAACAGCATGGTCTTCAAAACTGGACTGGACCGGATGGTCAGACCAGAAAAACCGGAAATCGGTCAGATGATCGGTTCTGTTTTCTTAAAAACCGGATTTTCTTCYAAAATCGTTGATTTTGGTCAGCAAACTGCTGAACTAGGTGGTTAACCGTTTGAATGATTTTGATCATTTTTTATTTTTTATTTTTATTTTTATTGAATTTTTTATATTCTTTTGTCAGAATGGATCAAGCGTTCATATCGAACTGTCGGACCGTTTGAACCAGTAACCGGACCCCTGATCGGTTCGGTTTTAAAACCCTTGCAGAACAGAGAAAAATGCTCAGCGGCACCTGCAACCCTCATTATAGCAGAAGCAAAAAACACTGTGTGAACACACTACAAAAGGTCAAAAGCACAGATCAAAACTCATTTAAGAGTCATGCTAAAGTGGTAAGGAGAAAACCCTTAATTCATGATGGGCTGATTCCAACAAATTCCAATTAAAGAACAATTGGGCTTTCAACCAGTGTTGTTAAGGTCTACTGGTAAGTCACAGACCAATCATAGAGGTTTAGATCTTTCATTTCTTCTCCTCCTATTCTTGGGCATATAGGTGCTATGACATATCCCTTGATTCCACTCTGCTGCATGACTGAATCCATCTTCTCTCTCCCTCTCTTAAACAAAACACTTAGCCAATTCTCTTAGATATCATGAAAAAAAAAAAAAAAAACGACTTGGGTTTGTCGCAGCGGAAGTGGGAAGCTTATTGCTTTGACTCTGTATGTGGAAATCTCGTATCTTGTTGATACCCACCGAACAGAGGACTGAATTTAATCTCAAATCTTGTTGATTAACAAATCAAAAGACAATAGCGCTCCCACTGAATTTAATCTCATCTCTTTTTATTTTTTCTGGTAAGACATTTATTGTATTTAATCGAACAATAAATGCATGACCGTAAGCTCATCCATATCCATGCACACAACTTGGAGAGAAGCGGCTTTCTTTGTTTCATTCATTCATTGAATGCTCTCCATCCCGCACTCCAACTCCCAAGGTGGACCCAGACTTTATCAATAAATGCGAAAGCACTGTAAACACACCATCCCCATCCCTGTTAAATGAATTAGAGCTGAAGCGGCCAGACAAGAAGAAAGAATAGAGAGAGAGAGAGAGAGAGAGAGGATGAAGACAACAGAGAAGGAGATGGGTGGTGTTGGAGGTGTGTCTCCTCCAGAGGTAGCGCTAGGTGACGGGGAGGAGAAGGGACACTCAGGTGTGCGTACAGCTGAGACCTTGCTCCGCCTCCTCCCCATAGCCCTCTGCGTCACTGCACTGGTGGTCATGGTGAAGAACTCTGAGGAAAATGACTTTGGCTCCGCCATTTACAGCCATTTCGGAGGCTTCAGGTAATGAAAATCTATTACAACACCCATGTGGGGATTGGATTAAACTGTGTTTTTAGTGCATATGTTGAGTTCAACTGGATTCAATATTAACTTGCACTGGACATGGTGGTAATTAATATTGGCCAAAGGCTCTGATGCTCTTATACTTTCAAGTTTGATTGAGATTTGCATGGAGGATGCAAAAGGATTCTTTATTTTGCACCATTGGATTTTTTTTTTCTTTCCTCTATAGGCTGCTGCATGCCATTATTTCCATGTACATCCCCACTGAAAATACAAATATTATAATTTTTTTTCATCACAAAAAGAAAAAAAAAGTTGTAGCTTTTATTTTGCTTAATTTGGTCCCTTGAATTTGGATTTAGAAAACTTATGGCATGCATCCAAAAATAACATCTCAAAAAGAACCTTCCTCATTCAATATTACTTTATTTTAAAGATAACAAAGCCATAAATTATTATGGTATAGTAAACATATTATTATAGTATTAAACACAATAATAAAAATTTATTCTAAAGTTATATAGTAAACATATTTTTCTATAAATATATTATTTAGACTGACCGGATTAATTGTATTTTTTACAGGCCTCACATGGAGTCTCCTCCTCTCTCCTTTATGCATGTGAAATATTAAAAATAAAGAATTTATCAAAATAAAAATATATTTTTTAAATTAAATAATATCTTAATTTCCTATCATAAAGTTCTATAAATTTTGGTGCACAAACATGTCTCTTCACAAAAACCCTTTTATGTCTTAATTTTCTCTATTAAAATCTATCATTACTCTTCTCTAATAAAATCATTCTTAATTCTCTTTCCCTTATTTCTCTTCAATAGTCAATGTTTGTGACGGGTGAGCATTCGGTTTATTCTGTTAAAAACTAAACTGGATAAATCAAAATTTTAGAAAACTGAACTTATGAAAAAAAAAACTGAACTGAAACTGAAATTACTGAAATTTTCAGTTATTTTGTTTTAAACCAAAATTTATTAATATTATATTATACATGTTACAATATATATGTTATATATTGAAAATATTATATATAATAAAATTTGGTTTTATATTTTTAACCAAACAATGCTCTCCACTATTTGTGATACCTCATTTGACTCTCTATAATAAAACATTGGGTGGGGTTAAGAGCCAACCCTAGACCAACCAAGAATATGGACTTAAGCCTTGAACTAAACTGATGCCAAAACCTAAATTTATCAATCCAAACCTAACCAAGTTTCTATTCAACCCCATTCATGCATTTGCACGGGTTTGGTTGCTAGCTGTTCTAAAATGGTAGGCATTCCTTATGTGTTATTTAAAATTGTTCCTTGATTAATCTTCTTTCCCCCAACCTTTGAAGAAATGCAAAAAGGGGGGGAGTCAAGAGTGTAATGGTTAGAACAGTAGAGCACGTTAGCAAAATAAAAGAGTAGAAATGTTTATAAATAATTCATTTTTCTTGGTCAGGATTGAAGGGAAAAAATATTATGATCAATTTCAAATCGAGTAAAGAAAGTTAGAAAACCTGGCCTCCAAAGAAAATCTTGAATGGAGCTTTAAAAAAAGTTAAAATCAGCATTTTTCCTTTTAAACAAAGTTCTGATAATGATGGCTGGTGAAACTATATTTCTTTTGACAAATCGGCCCATTTGATTCTAGGCAGCCTTTGAAATTCTTTCTCTTGATAAATTCTTGTACCCAAAAGATTTTACTGATTAACATGCACAGTGTAAAATTACATAATTGAAAAATGTTAAACCTGTAATTTATATCAGATAATTATCATAATTAATTAGAAGGGTTTCCTGGATATAGGTAACAAACCCTTTCTGCCTGATATTTACTCCATGATTAGAGAAGCCTTTTTAATTAGGCGTATATGAATGGGTTCTCTAAGCAGGTTCAGGAATGGAGACCCAGGTAGTGAATGCCTGAATGACTCTGGTTGTTCGTAAGGCTCAGTTTGGAAAGAGTATATATGCAAATATGTACTGTACAAAGACATACAAGATATAAGGTTTTGCACTCTACATATTTGCATTTGTACTCCTTCCAAACTGAGCCTAAATTCTCAACCTCTGTTGACAATGTGATGCTGCAGGTATCTGGTCTATGCAAATGGAATTTGTGCAGGCTATTCGCTTCTTTCAGCTTTCTATGCAACTGTGCCTCCTGCCTCCAACACTAGGTCTCGGGCCTGGATTGTTTTCGTCTTGGATCAAGTGAGTTTTCAAAGAACAAGGCATATATGTATATATATGCAGTTGATGTTAATTAGAGTACATCAATCTGGTTAATTTCTGGTTTTGCTGGTGGTGTTGATATGCTGCTGCAGGTGATGACATATGTGATACTAGCAGCAGGAACAGTGTCTGCAGAGGTGCTCTACTTGGCCTATAAGGGAGATGACGAGATCACTTGGAGTCAAGCTTGTGGAACCTTTGGTGGGTTCTGTCGGAAAGCCACAGCTTCTGTGGCCACCACCTACGTTGCTGTGGCCTGCTATGCTGGGCTTTCCCTCATCTCCTCTTATCGACTCTTCAGCAGCTATGATGCTCCCATCGGCTACCCCAGCAAGGGGGTCCAGAATGCAGCTTTCCTCCGCTGATCATCTTCCCCCAATTACTCTTCTTATTTGCATGTACGAAACTGATCCTTTTCACTTTTTCAGTACTTATAAAGTTGTGTTCTCAACTGATCAGTATAGCTTAATGGTCATCTTAGAGATCTTTTCTGATGGAATAATGAGATCCATCACAAGGGCTGCATTCTAATTAGTTGTTATACACATCTTGAAGGGCAGAGGGACGTGTAAATAGAATCTGGATTTTCTCCTCACACCGACCTCACAACACTACCACTACCGGCCATGGATTGGGAACATCTTCCCATTAATTAAAACATACAACTGCCTAGATGTTCTCAATGCATAGTGGGAATGTTGTGAGGTCGGTGTGTGGAGCAAATCCCAACTCGTGTGAATAATGGAACTTAATTATACTTTTGCATATGTTTGGGTTTTCTATTTAATTCTAGACTGATTATTTAGGAAATAATTCGTTTTATATCCACAATCCAGGTTGTGTTTTACACCTTTGCTGTTTCTATCCAAAACATTTTAGACCGATCAATACAAGTTGGCATACAAGTGCGAGGTTGTATATTCATATCTATTCTCCTACTAAAACTGTAAATCAGGGTGTGTAACTTTTGTTTGATTATCCCATTTTTATTATTTAATTGCTATCTAAATATAAGATATAACTGTAAATTGAATAACTATTTTTCTTCTCATTGAAATCCTTCTTATTAAGTCTTATATCAAATTAACTCTTATTGGTGTTCATTGAATCCTATTCTTGATTAAAATACCCCTTTTTGTGAATTTGGTCCCTCTCTAATTGTGACGACACAAAATGTAATTTGAACTACTACATTTCTTCTCATTTAATTCCTATCATTATGTTTTATATTTAGGGCATTAACTCTCATTTTTTCATTAAATCCTATATATATCATATTAAAGAAAAATAAATATGACAAATAATATGTATATATATATATATATATATATATATATATATATATATATATTAAAATTGGACGGTCCATGTCAGCGCGTCTTTCCTTTGAGATAAGCTATTTATTTATTTTCTCAATTTTTTGCATTTTTTCTTATTTTCTTTTGTTTTAAAACTATAAAATAGTAATCATTGCTTATCTTGATTAGATTAATAAAATTGCACACTATTAGAGAAAGACCTTTAGTTTTTCTAAGGCTTCTTATTTTAATGTATGTTATTATTATTTAAAAAAGACATTTAAGAGAGAGACAGACCTTTGAGTTTTCCAAGGCCTCTTATTTTAATGCATGTTATAATTACATTTAAAATCAAACCGAATAGATGGCCTGTTCTCAAGTCAAATGGTCCATCCATTCGAACTGAACGAATTCCCCGTTTTGACAATAGAATAAAAAATAAAAAATGGCCAAAACCGTTGGATTGTTCAAACGGTTTGATCGCCTAGGTTAGTCATTTGCTGACCAAATCAATAGTTTTTAGTGAAATAACGGTTCTAGGGTAAAATGGAACCGGTCACCTAACCAGTTCCTAGTTTTTCCGGTCTGGTTCGGTTTTGAAAACCATGATATAAATCAAATAATATAAATAGGTTGAGGTTAAACAATCAAAAAATTATTAATTTAAAAATCCACTAAACTTTCACTAAGAATAAATATTAACAAAATATTAATTGATAATTTTAATAATATTATTAGATAACTTATGAGTTGAGACCTTAATAAATGCTAATAAAAAATATTAATTGATAGTTTTAAAATACCAACAATTAATTAAAAATCCAAAAATTCTGAAAAAACTAAACATAATTAAAACACTAAAAATATTGAAAATTAAGAATATTTTGTATTAATAAGGGTATTTACTAAAAATAATTTAAAAGTACAATTAATAGTATTTTATTATTAAAAAATAACAAAAATTATGAAAAAAATACCCAAGTCAGAAATTATTGAAAAATATTGAAAATTAGTTGTATTTTTTTTAACTATGGTATTTATTTAGTTATTTAATTTATTTTTACTAAAAGCAAATGCAAATTAATTTTGTAGTGACTAATATGCAAAAATAAATGATGAAAATACTAAAAATTATTAAAAATACTCATATGCAAAAATTACTAAATAATAATGAAAAAACACCAAAAATTAATTAAAAACCCAAAAATTCTAAAAAACCTAAAGCTTAATTAAAATACTAAAAATAATTAAAAATTTAAATTAATTATATTTTATTGCAAAAAATACTGAATAATAATGAAAAATTAATTTATTTTAATTATTAATAGTAATATAATTAATAACAATTATTTTTAAATTGTAATTAATAGTAATTATAATTTAAGCTATAAATAGTAGAAAATTACATATAATTACCAAAAAGTTATATTTAATTACTAAAAAGTTACATTTAATTAGTTTTAGCCAAGATATTAGCAATATTTCTGAAAATATGATAATTTCCAAAAGTTATTGTATTTTAAATAAATACAGTAATTTAATAATTATAATATTTTAATAAATAAAAATGTTTTAATAATTAATAATAAAAAGTAACAAATAATTTATAACTTAACCTAACCCGATTAGATCTATAAATTTGCAGGCTCAAGCAACTATTTTCTTTTGAGTTAGGTCTAGTTGAGATATGCACCATGCCCACACATTATGAGGAATAATCAGATTCGAAGTCTAATTGGGTATCAAACTTTTGGAGTCCAATGATGGTTTTAGTGGATAGGGCCCAAACAACCCCTAATAAGCTCAACTTTGAAGTTATATGCATATATGATAAATATTATTATATAATATTTAAATAACAAATTATATATATATGTTATATATATTTTTATACTAGAGTAGAATTAAATAAAAATCTTAATTTGTAAAAAAACATAGTTTTCATAATTAACACGGGCCTCTTTATCAACAAAAAATGTGCAAGCTCGAGCCTGAGCCCGACCTAACCATTTGGCCTAGATCTTGAGCCCAAGCCCAACCCTTATATAAAGCCCGAAGCTCGAGTCCGAGCCTGAAGCCTGATCTGTACACAAAATGTCTTATTTTCAGTATACTTTTATAAACTAATATTATATTAATTTAGTAATAATTTAATAAATTAACAAACTAATTTATATTCCCTAATAGTAAATTGATATTTATTAATAATTTCAGAAGCATATATATATATATATATATATATATAACATAAGTACTTTTTTATATATGTAATAGTATCGGGTTGGGCTTATTTGAGAAAGTCCGAGCTCGAGCCCACGAGCCTTAAATTTTATCCAAGGTTGAAAAATAACGAGTCAGGTCGGGCCGGACCATCGGGCTACCTGGCCCATGAATAGGTCTAATTGTATATATATAAATAGTTGTATACATAAAAAATCATGACTATGGGGCAAGAATAGGGATGGGGTGCCCCGCCCTGAACCCACCCTGTTGTCATTCCTATATAATTGTTAATTATTAGTGAAATAAATAAAAATGTTAGCTTTTGTAATTATTTTTATTTATTTAAAGTTAATCAAAAATTCATTTAAAATAATAAAAACAACAAAAATTATTAAAATTACTTTAAATTATTAATAAAACTAAATTTATTAAGAAATATTTGTTCATATTAAATTAACAATAATTATTTTCTATAAATCAACATTAAATAAAAGTACAATTATTAAAATTTTAGATATTAACAATAACTTTGAATACTTTTAGTTAATTAACAATAAATTTTAATTATTGATTTAATATTAATTAATAGTAAATAAAATTTTTAAATCTTTCAGATTTTCCCGTGCATCGCATGGGTCCCTGCTAGTTATTTTTATTGATGATAGAAACAACTTACAAATTTAAAATTAACACGAAAAGTGGTGTTGCTTTCCTATTTGGTGGTGAGTCAACAATTCAATCTTTTCAGGTCAAATGAGTAAACTCTTGATGTCATACATAATTAAATACAAATGAAATTAAAAGAATAAAAACCCAAATTATAAAAAAATACAAAATATTGTAGAAATCTATTCATCATATTAAATAAAAATAAGTGTAACAAATAAGGATAATTTTTATAGATATAAAAAATATAAAAAATGGAAACATAGTATTTACTATCATCCTCATCATACTCACCAGTAGTTGAAACTTCATGTATGTGCTGACTAGTTCATTGACATTTATAGTTGAAACGTGAAATTGGTGTTTCTTGGTCAAGGAATGTGGAAGTGATTCTTCTATGTGATGCGATCATACATACATACACATTAATAAAAAATGTTTAAATAGAAACTAACTATGGTACCAAATATAACCCTAATCCCTCCACTGTGTATCACCAAGTTGACTATCCATATGTGACGGGACAAAACATATCTCTTATCAATTTGAATTGATTAATGCAAAATTGTTTTTAGTAGAAAGTAATATTTTAAAAAATGGCTAGGAGGTTAGAGGTGTAAAACGGGCTGTACTGGGCTGGCATGGCATGGCCCGCATAAAGTGTGGGTCAGGCCGTGCCTCCCTCCCTTAAGATATTTTGGGGGGTTGGCCCGGGATGGCCCACGGCCTGAGCCCATGGTGGGCCAGGTCGGGCTGTGGACTGGGCCAAAATTATTTATTTAAAAAATTAAAAAAAATTAAAATTTTAATTTTATGTGAATTTATAATTGCTTATATATACAATAATTAAATAAATTGGTATAATAAAATTGAAAAAAATGTTTATTTTATTAATATATTATATACTATATATATAAAATATATACATATGGGCCATGCCGGCCTGGCCCACTGACCTGAAACCCCAAGCCCAATATGTCCCATTGACCATCGGGCCAGGCCGGCTCAAAATGGTGCCGTGTTATGCAAGGCCACGGGCGGCACGACCCGATTCACACCTCTATAGGAGGCTGAACTATGTCTCTGGGTTGTGGGTCATCGATTCGATTTTTTGGGTTGAATGGGTCAGTTTTATCAATAAAATAATGTATAATTCTATTATACATGTAATTTATGTATTATTTTATAATTTTCAATTCAGTTTTAATTTTTTGTTAGAATAGTTGCTAAAAATTTGGTTTTGAAGCCGAGACTTGTTGTAAAGATCAGGTCGTGTGCCATAGGTAAGTGGCTGAAGCTCCATGTTAGTTGATTCAACATTTTTTTATGTAGGTCACATCGTACACCAACTTTTTTTTTCTACAGTTTATTTTTAGTTTTTATACATTGTTTGTGTTTAACTCAAATTTTATAGTTGTGCAGTCTGAATATTAGATTCAAATATTTTAGTTTCGAAGTTCATGTTCTCTCTATGTTTTATTCCTTTTTTTTTTGTATCTCATCTCATGTTTTAATTTTTATATAGTTCTCAATTCTGGTGAAGAAGATGACAATAAGAACTGGACCCATTATTAAATTACAATATACGAGGTTAACGTGTCATTTTTAGCTAAAATATATATTCAATAAAAAGGAACTCAAAAAGGGAAACAAGGACAATGAGGAAATCAATTATTATTATTATTATTAAAGAAAAAATCCCAAAAAAAGGTAAAAGAAAATGAACAAACTGTGCTAATACAGTAAGTTATACTCAAATATTAAATCAAATCAACAACCATCTCATCTGTTGTGATTTCAGGCAAAAGTATATAAGAGGTTCGTGACTTTGAATTGCTGATGATAAAAAAGTAAAAAAGTATTCATAGACTCAGTTCTTTTATTTGATTCTATTTTAATTTTCATTTTATTTAAATCAAAGACTACAAACCAAACAGATCCTAAGATTCTTTCCGGTGCACCTTGAGATGTTTGCAGTGGCGTATCCATCTTCTTCTCTCACGTTGCAGAGTTGATTAACAACTTTGCAATGTAACAATGCGTTTTATGGGTTAGATGAGATGAAGGGTTTACTTATTTATGGTTCCAGTTCCCTTCCCCCTCCCTCGTGTTCCTGTTACTCATGCCTGAGTTAGAAGTTTTCTCCTCCCATTTTTTTCATATTTTATTTTACATTATATGTAATTCACTGGTTTGTTGTTTCCGTTTGGCTGAATTAGATTATTTTACTGATAATTTTCTATTCACAAGTGAATTTCTTTTTAGGTTCAACCGTTCAAATATAGCTGCTAAGATCATTAATAAAAAAAAAAACAACAAAATTTATAGTCAAATAGAGCTTAGATTGGAGTTAAGGTTGCCTAATATTTTATATTTGATGTTTTGTATTTTTCAAAACTTCAAACAAACTACAAAACTTAAAAGAGTCAACAGTCATTGATTCTGAATAGAGACACCAACAACCGGAAGTGGCTTTTTACCTTTGGCGCAGATTACCGAACTTGATGTAATGTACATAACCAGTTTAGCTACCCAGGTCCTCTTAACTCCTATTGACCCAATAACAAATACTCTCATAGCCGTTTGGTAACAAGCTAAAATGGCTGAACTGAATAGCTTATTGCTTTCTTTTCGGTGAAAGACAAAGCAACAAGTCATTCAGTTCAACCACCTCAAACCTTATGAAATGGCCGAATCATTTCAGACCACCTGCTCTCCAATGGACCTGACTGCTGACATTTAAATAGCGATATCCCTCGTTAAGCACTTGACGTGCATATAATTCACATCTATGCAAGGTATAAAAGATACAACTCTTATAGTTCCACCTGAGAAGGTAAGACCATTTTCTACTGGAGACTTACAACTTACAACCAACCCATCCTCAAGGAGTAAGAAAAAAACTTTGATACAGATGATTTGACTGCGTTCTAGTTGCCGGTTGCCTTTTCTATCCTCCTGGGTCATCCCAGCGCCTTGGCAGATTTCATTCAAGGACTAACCCCACAATCCTGTCAAACAACGCTGCACCAATACCAAAACGAAAAGCAAGGGAGGAGAACTACGATTTAAGATGGGGAAAAAAAACACTGCATATCTAAAAATTAGCAGGTGATAGTGGCTGTTTCATGTGTGACCAGAACTGCTGTGTTCCCTGTCACTGGTTGGACGCTGGCCATGTTCTCCAGACGCTCCCATGTCAGCCTCCTCTTTTCTGCTGCTGCGTTTTGTTTTGTTTCTTCCTCCTCAAATTTGCTCTGGCATGTCAAGACCAACTCATCATCCAATTCTGAAAACATTTTCCTTACATTTACTGTTAAGTTCAGAACCGACTGATTCCAGTGGTTCCTAGTGTTCTTCTCCAGAGCTGGGAAGATGAGAGGCAGGATCACCTGTCGGTTGTGGGAAATTAAGCTGACAATGTGCTCATTGTTCCATAAGAAGAGGGCTCTCTCAGCCACCTGAAATGATCATAACACATTAGAAGGATTTCATTCCTTCACTGCCTGAAAATTTGTTTCAGGTGTCCAACACCTAATACAGCTTCAACAACTTAGGTACGGATTCAAAACAAGAAATACAAGCTTCCTGCCTAATCAACAGGAAAGTCTAATCATCCTACAAAATTTCCAAATGTCTACATCCATGAAGGTGGACAAACAATCTAGACAACACAACAAAAATGCTATGTGATGCCAAAAATAAGCCAATTTGAGGATCCAACTTCCAGTTAAATCTTCTTTTGGGCAATGAGCAAAGCTTATCATCAATAACCAGAATTTGTTTGCTTTTGCATGCATGTAATTACCATATTACATTGATCTTGGAACCAATTGGTAGGTTTGGCTCCAGAACCTTGCATATACAATGCCAGGCAAAACAACAGTTCCTTTTCAAATGACATTAATTCACGGTAAATAAAAACATGAAGTTTTGTACTCTGTCATTTGATCAGTAACACAACCAAAACTAAAAGAGATGTTATTTGATATTCCTATTTCAACAAGATCATTGTCAATTATTCTGATTGTTGGCAAGAAAACCTTTGAATTACATCAGGTAGGTGCTCATATGAAAGCAGAAAGAAGCAAATATTAGCTTTTAAATATAAACCAAGCATATGGAGAACCTCATTTTGGAGATAAATGTCTGTAAATACAAGAATGCAAGCATCCCATGACCCTGAAGTGCTGAGATACAGTAAGCATTGGATGTCTAACAGAAAGAGAGGAGGAAAGGTGTCATAATCACCCTTGTTCATGCCTAAAATTCAGACACCATAAATTGATTAGACTCCTCCAATCAAACCCTTAGACCCTATTCAGAAAGCCAGATAATTAATCTCTAACCATTTCTCTTGTCACCCTATAATAGTTCTTATTAAGAGATAACAAAAAGGATACAAAGCATTAACATACGGACAGACTATAATAAGCCCTCAAGTTATAAACTATATAATAGAGGACAGCTCACTAGGACTCATCAGAACCTACAATGGCATCTACAAATGTATAACACCAAAACAGCAAAAGAGAGTGGGGGTGGGGGAGAGGATCCACAGGTTGGCTAGCCTCTATAATAAAAAAAAGCAAGTCATCTGTTCAGAAATATCTTTACAAAATCAAATTCAGTAAGCAAGTATAGGAATTGCTTTCAATGACATTCATAAGCATAGTTGATAAAATTGACTGTGTTTGAACCACTAACCACCTTGGGAAGAAGCCCCCTATTGTAAGCCTCTGCAAATCCCACCTGAGATCCTTATAGTTCAAGTAATATAACCAAAGATGGAAGAGGTCACACTGAGATAGCTCTCATAATACCTTTTTACCAATGATTATGTCGATGATTCATATCTAAAGCCAAACTTACCAAATGTTCAAACCCTGAATTTTCTGGGCTAGTAAGTGTGCTGCCATATATTAACAACTTTATTTTAAAACTCCCTTTAGATACAAATCCACCCAAGTCTCAATCATGATGCTCCATTGATGAAACCTAAATCCTCTCTTAAAAAGTTGGTCTTTCTGCCTGGTGATGTCACCTTACATCCTACATCACGTAATTTGGGTCTAACTGCAATTGCTAAAAAGTACAACAAGAAGTCTGGGTTCAAAGCATATTGGTTGTACAATCAATTAAGTTTACCATGTCAAACAAAAACATTGAGAACAGCAAGGAGCATTAGGTCAGCTGTCAATGAGAGCCATAATCAAGATATCACAAATAAGTTAGCAAGTTAATTACTGAAAAAAAAAATCAAGATTACCACTACCAAGATTTGCTATAATAAAGATTTCTAATCAGCAGTGGATTGCCAGGGCCAACAAGATGCATTAAAGAGGTTTCTGTGGAAAAGGGTGAAATAATTGAGGGATTAACCATAATCCAGATTGTCACATCTGTCCAGGAAAAGGAAAATCAATTCAAAAAGATAGTAGTAGTAAACTTGAGCTATTATAGCATCTCCAGGAAGGGACGAAGGGTATGAACCACCAAACCCTACGGAATAAGCATTCACATCATGAGAACTGTCTATGTTTTTTGCAACAGCTTGAAAAATTTCAAACCAATTAACTGTGGGTAGGCGAACGTGATAAATGAGTGAAGAGTTACTGAATATCATAGAAAGCCAGCATTTCCAAGTAGACTTTCTTTTTGGAAAGCTGGAATGTGATGGAATCTGGCATAACATTTTAAATGCATTTATTTCTTCAACTTAATAGGATTCATTATTCACAATGACTTGTTATGCAAACAACAAACAATGTCTTGCAGAAAGCTCCTTGGAAACCAAAAGAACAGAAAATTTGTAAAAAGAGGGGAAGGAAATTCAACGGTAACTTGATAAGCACTGTATAAAGTATAAATCTGAGAAACAAATGCACCTCCAAGCACACAGAATAATGAATGGTTACGAATACAAGAATGGAAACAAAAGAAAACAGTTACTAAAAGGAACAACACTACAAAAGCAGTAGCAAGAACAGAACAAAACAAAAAAAGAAGGGGCAATCACCTGGAAATGGGAGCTGTTAAGACAGCACCCAATCCTATGGAACAAAGGGACCATGATCTTCTGGAACTCCACCATGTTTGTTACTTCCAAAACTTCTTCCAACTCCCCCAAAAACAGCACTTCCTTCTGGCTATTTGTTACTGGCCAATATCTCAACAACCCCTTTATGACCAAGCTTGCCAACTTTGGCTCCTTCTCTATGAACTGTGTAATGCAATAGGATAATTGCTGAAGGTAAACACCCATACACTTTGGCTTGTGCAGAGGAATCAGAGCCTTCCACAAAAACACTTTATGCTCCTCCTTCAGTGGTAGCGCAAACCCACTAATTACACTGCCAAGAATTTCCAAGAGCTCAGCAATTCCATTATGCCGTTCTGTTTCAAAGACAAAGCGGAAAAATATGTTGCTGACAGCCTTCCGGATAAAGGGCCTGTGAACCATGAACTTCCCATAAATTCTATGCAGGATTGTCTTCAAGCAATCTCTTTCTCTTGGATCCTCAGAATCAAACAGGTCAAGCAATCTCAAAATAAACGAATGATCTATGTACTTCTTTGCTATCTTTGATTCGAGTGAAGAAGAAGTGATGAACCTAAGCAGCAAATCATACACAACTTGTAAATGAGACCAGGCAGGATCAAACATCGGTTCTTCGTCTTCGTTTTCTCCACCAGTCGAATTAGACCGGTAGTTAGGAGGGAAAACCCTAAAAAGATTAGCTACAACCATTTTACAAACCGCTGCAATTGCAGGTTCGTTAAGCCTGGCAGAACCGGAACCAACAAATTCGACCAACTCTAACAAAGTTTGACGTTTCAGATCTTTCTCGGCAGAATCCTGAATTGGATCGTTGAAGTCAAAAACCACACAACAAAGATTCAACTTACTAATAAACAAGTTCTGCTTTTCTTGATTTGGAACATCTTTAAAAGATAGAAGGGGCTCTATTCCAGCAACGACACTTGCAGGAAAAACGGCTGAAGACATCTTCTTGACAGCATTCGATCTGCCTGAGGCAGCGTTTCCACTATTTGTACGTTGGATCCCATTGCTAGCTCCATTGCCAGCAGCGGCGGTATTGTTGCCAGAATTGCTCCCAGCAGTATCAGCAGCGTCAGATTTGAAGGACTTCCGAGGAAGTCTACTAAGAAATTGCTTAAGCATGTTGGCGACGTTGATCAAACAAAGAGCCTACCACAAGCTCATTTTGATTAATATTATAACTATAGCACCCACAGCTCGGCGCGGCAACAGGCTTGCATTAGAAACCTAAGACTACGGCCACCAAAAAGCAAAACGGAAACTTTAGATTCTCTCTAAAGCCGCTAATTTTGTGGATAAAATCGTAGATCTAGACCGCCATTAACAGATACATGAAAGAAAATAAAGGCAATTAGCACATAAACATCAGATCATTGCAATGGACATCAAGCCAATGAGAAAAGATCGTAACTTGCAAATCTGGAAAACATTCCAGTCCGTAAAATTCGTAAACAGGCAAAGAAAAAAAAGGTTAAATGTTGATGCACACTCAATGTTACATACGGAGATCAGATTAACGTTAAAAGAGAAAAAGGAAGAAAAGAAAGAAAGGATGAATGGAAACCTGGTTTTTACTGTTTGAGGTGAGGAAGCACTGGCGAGGAACCGGATCTCGAGCAAAGGAAATAAATTGAGTAAGAAACCCTAGGCATTGATCTCAGGGATGAAGAAGGAGCTCATCATCACAAAAATCAAGGATTTAGGAATAAGACAGCGGAAGCAATGAGAGGCAGAGCAACACCGGGGAAGGCCTGGAACATCTCCGCAGGGATTTGAAGCTTCTTGAGGGTTTCGAGCATCTGAGCTGTTCCATCTCCATGAAAGATCAATAAGTGTTTCTCGATTGAAGAGAAGCGATGGCATTTTCTGAGAAAAATTAGGTACGACTCAGAAAAATATAAGAAAAAATAATAATCAAAAAGGAGACATCTTTTGGTGGTAGGTCTGAAATTAGAAAAAATAAATTAAAACCAAATCACTAATAGAAAAAATAACTTCTTATTTGAATTTGAAAAAAATTAATAAATAAAAGATAAAAGAAATGGACAAAAAACGCTAAAATACGCCGGTGGTTCAATGCTGGACAATTTGCAGGGTGGCAACAGAGAAGTTCTGACAGGAGGGTTGTGATTTTGACGGATGACGGTGGTGATTGAAAAATTGAATCTGCGCAAGTTAGCATGCTATTATTAGAAGCTATAAGGTTTTCGACCAGCAAACCCGGACCCGTAGTTAGCCAACGTAAGCGGTAAGCCCAAGGAGCATTGATTTGTTTGATTATGATGATTTATGATACTTAAATGATTACGAACAGAAAAGATGGTCCATGGGATCTTGGCTACAGCTAACGAAAGACAAGAATATGGGCCATGGACTCATGTGTGTGCTCATCACAAGAGCCCAAACGGCATTCAGTAGTTTGATTTACATACGAAAAGATGGGCCATTGGCTCATTGGTGCTTATGAGATAAGCCCAAGACGAATTATAACTAAGGACAAGAAAGATGGGCCATGGGCTTATGGGCTGCTTCAAAAAGGAGCCCAAGGAAGATTTATTTGTTTGATACTGACATGAATAGGCAATTATGAATCATAATGGATGCTTGAGTCCTACTACTTAAAAAAAAAAAGGTGGTTCGTCCGTCCGTGTCAAAGCCGGCATAGTCCAGTACTCCAGTTGAATTGGAGAGAGAATTTCGTAATTCCATAATTGAGGGATGGGGACGGGATCGGTTCCGAAAGGATTTTCTAAATTCTCATCCTTCTTATCTTTCCAAACCTCTCACAGCGTTATGGAATCCAAATCCTTCCTATCCGTAGATTGTTTCATGGTATATATAAGTAATAAATTAGAAAAATAATATTAATAAATGGGTTTTGGACTATGATATCGGAAAAATATGATATCTGAATCCAATCAAGTGGAATATAAATATGGTAGACAATCAGGTGTTATTTATCAAAATTTATGAGTGGGTTTTGATTGGTCAAAATTCTTTCAATACCATATATTTTCTACATCATAGATTTTCCCTTAATAAATATAAAAAATTCTAATTATTTGATTGAAATATGTAAAAAAATACATGAATTATAAATTACTTTTCGCATTCAAAGAATTATTAACTTCAACACATAATACGTAAATTCAAATTGATAATTTTGTTACAGGCACAAGATGTATTTTAATAAGGCCTTTTTTGTTTTTCGGGACTAAGGTAAATGCACTTACCCAGGTAACTATTTCCCCATGTTCTTTTATTTCCCAAATAAATAACACAATGATTGTTTTAGCCACAAAAATCTATTATTAGAAGTAGCAATTTTGCCTCATCCAAGTGTTGGCACCTTTCCCCCTAGGTGGGAAAGTTACTTACCTACCTTGGAGATGTGTATGATACCTGGGAAAATGATTTTTTTTGTATACCCTACATAAATCTGAAAAAAAAAATATGGATATCTTGATCAATGGGAACCAAAATCCCGTTGACCAACTTTTCCCTTTCAAAATCCAAAAAACAAACAGGCCCTAAATTCAATGTAAAGGTCAGGGAGATTTGAATTTAACCCAAAACCATACCTATCCATATGTGTACAGTTTGTAAGATATCAAAAATCTGTCCCTACCCCAAAATCCATTTTTTCAAACAAAAAAAACTACCACATCAAATTGGATAGGAGTGAAGCTAGAGTGGAAATTGCCTCCCTAATTCCATGTGGAAGGAGTTGTATTGTTTGATCTACGAATTATCAGGATTCAATTCTATTTGATCAGTTCACATTATAGCTAACCTTCTTGTTTTAGGCCATTTGTGGGAGTGCTTAAAAATAAGTGCTTATGTGGGCCATTAACCACTTATTGGTATTTGGAAAATAAGTTCGAAATAAGTGCTTATTCAATTTTTTTCTTTCAAAATTATCCTTAGTTGCATTTTAAAATACTACTTATAAAATTAATCTTAGTTGAATTTTATAAAAGTACTTTTATGAAAGCACTTTTATAAAAGTACTTTTATGAAAGCATTTTTACAAATGCACTTTTGTGAAAGTATTTTTACAAAAGCTTGTAAAGATGCTTTCATAAAAGTGCTTTTATAAAAATGATTTCATAAAAGTAATTTCTTAGAAGTGCTTTCAAATGGTATATTTTAAAAATTTGAAAGAAAATAAAGGACAAAATAGTCACAAATGTTTATTAGAGAAAAAGACTACCAAACACCCAGTATAAAATAAGTACTTGAAAAAGTTGGGTGTCAAATACAAATAAGTGCTTATTTGAATAAACAATTGTTTTTAAACACTTATTTTTAACTTAAGTACTCCCAAACATGACCTTAGTGGAAGTTAATTTGATGGATCAGATAATTCACCGATTAACTCTATTATTAATTGGGAAAGGGTGGAGCATCCATGTATTCGGTATTTCTTAACATGGATCATACAAAAAGTTGCAAGAGTCTTCTAACTCACATGGATGGTTCCTCAATTTCTCTCCTAGATCAGGCAACCAAGTAGCATATCATCTTGCTAAATTTCCATCTCCTAAAAATCCGTACAAACCTGGTCATTAGCACCACATTTTTTCTCTAACAAACACACACACACACAAATTTGGCATCAAATAAACCCTGCTTGATTCGACAATATAGGGTCGGGTTAGGGTTTTCATTCTTCAACTTGAGCCTAGATCAGGTTTTGATGTCATGAATCATGATACCTCACACATGAAAATATTCTTACAATTTGGAATGACCTGACGCCATTAAGTCTAGCTTATCTTTTTATATTCGTTTGGTTTTTTATGAGTTGAAATCAGCCCCCCACAACGTCCCACAGTACATACCCGCCATGTATTGGGAACATCTCCTGATGATGCCTAATCATTTTTGGTACTATCATCAAGAGATGTTCCCAATACACGGCGGGGATGTGCTGTGGGGGGCTGATTTGAAGTCATTTTTTATTTTTCCTTATTGGTGTGTGATACTTTTGAAACCCAAAGTCCAAATTATAATTTATATTAATTATTAGGGAAAATTCCCGATTAGTACCCTGTACTTTGGACCTAGTGCCACTTTAATCCCCAAACTTTAAAACATGACAATTCAGTACTCATACTTTTAAAATGTGTCAATTCAGTAACTGTCTTAACTAATTGATTAACCAACTGTTAAGTGACATTTGAAAACACACAAATGTCCTTTGTGTGTCATCTAATTTTCTTTATCAACCATCCACATATTGATAAAAATGAACAGTCTCAAATCCTTACATCTTTTATTCAAGAAAATTGGGGTTACATCTCAGCGGGCATTCTGGTGACCCCAACTTTCTTGAACAGAATAAGCAAGGATTTGAGACTGTTCATTTTTTGTCAATGTTTGGATGGTTGATAAAGACAATTAGATGATATTCAAAGGTATTTCTGTCTTTTCAAATGACACTTATCGATTGGTTAATGGGCTGCTTAATGACAAGTACTAGATTGACACATTTTAAAAATTTAGACACTAAATTGTTACATTTTAAAATTAGGATATCAAAATTGCATTAAACCCAACTACAGCATACTAATCTGAAATTTCCCTAGTTATTAAATATAATCGAAAACTGTGAATCAGGTTGGATTGGTATCGAGTTGAAACCCGTAGGGTTGGGTTGGGTTCGAAAAATGCATGTTATTCAGTTGGATTGGGGTGGGGGTAAAACCATACCGAACCCGAACCCTTGACATCCATGTTTCCGGTTGAAACTTAAATTTGGGCCTGAACATAAACCGAACTGGATCCGATTTAAGTAAACCTTTATGCCATAATTCTCTCGGTCAATGTTAATTCAATGAAAGGGTACTAAACCCTACAATTGTTGTAAAAACAATGTTTTATTGGATTTTAACCTCATTTTTTTTAACAAGTATATGGAATCGATGTTGTTTTCAAGGTTTAAAAAATCGTTATATATCATTTTATATCAGTCGATATGTATCGTATCGGGCCCTTTTCAATACGCCCCTGTAGGAATTGTATCAAATTAAGGTCTGGTTCAGAGGGTAACTGAGACTTAAATCAGCCCCTCTAAAACAAAATCGAAAAAAAAAAGTAAAAATTAAAAAATGGACCGATGCCAGTATCGATAGTTTGAACCTTGGTTGCTTTGTACCACATCTCAAAAAACACCTCTCGATTAACAGTAATGACTCCAAACATAATCTTAACAAATTCCACTTTTTTTTTTCAAAAAACACTTTTTATGACCTACATAATTGCCACGTATCACAATTCAACATTTTCCTAAGAATCTGCTACACGTGCCTAACATGTTTTGGGCCTGTCTAGTTTTGCCGAAAGCACAAGAGCTTAGCCGGGTCTGTCTGTAGATTATTGACACGTCACATTATACAAAGAAAAAGAGCAATCAGCAAATGGACACACGCAAAGGATTGTCTCTCCAAAGGATCAATAGAATCACATATTGCCTAATCTCCTGCTTTTCTTTTGAAGCCCCTTTCGGTACCTCATGTCTATGTTGTTCCAAAACGGGACAAAGGTCAAAAAGATGGATTGGGACACCTATATCTCTATACTCGTTACATGTTAGGCCTGTAGGATAGTTTTCACCTTTTTTTTCTTTCTTTTCCATTTTTTTTCCACGTGGCAAAGTGGTTTTGGTGTCTAAAATGGTGGCATATGTTCCTTTCCGGTTTTCCCCAACTCAATCATGGTGCAGAGTTTTGACACCCATGATATACAAAAATTGCGTGCCGACTGGCTAAAATTGTTAAGGTCCAGCTAGTTGTCGTGACACTAGGGGTGGATTGGAACCGAGCCGAGCTGAATAGTATCAGGCTCAAGCTTGGCTCAAAATTATTCTACAAGGTTCGAGCTCGAGCTCGATTCGAGCCAGAACCTTGAGTTCGAGTTCGACTCGAGTCAAAAGTTCATAAGTTCGAGCTCGATTCGGTTCGACTCGTTTTATACTTTATAAAAGTATTTATTATATATTTTATAAAAATAAAAATTATATATAAAAATTTTTATTTTATATTTAAAAATTAAGAATTATAATAATTAATAATTGTACTATTTTTATTATATATATTATTTTCTATAATTTTATTATATAT